TTTGTAGATTTTCCCTTTTCTATTAACCGCTCTCATATTTATGAATTATTAGTTTAATATTATAAATATTATAATAATATATATGACAAATTAGAATTTACAATAATTACTGATGCAGTTTTATGTTATTTTAATGAAAATGTTATTATTATAAAGCTAAATGTAAACAAGTATAGTTATATTTAAATTAGAATTTAGATATTTAACTCAATAATAGTAGCCTAATATTTGAGAAATTTATATATATAGTCAATTCTTGATATAGCGAACACTTGATATAACAAATTTTTGAACAAATATAATAAAAATACTCTTGTTATAGCGAATTGATCAATTAAATTCCTTAAAATCTTCAATATATCCTTATAGAGAAGTTAAGGTTTAAGACATAAAATTCGTTATAATAAAAGTTAACTGTATAGCTAAATTTATAAAAGATAATAAAATAACAGAATTATAGTCTGGTAAAGTTTAATTTTACTTTGAACATTCAATCAAACTTTAAACTAAAATAGTAATACATTATTTAGTATTTATCAAATAATATATATAGATAAATAGTCATTAAATAAGATTTTATTATTAAATTATTAATAATGATAAAGTATTAAATATTAAACTTTAGGATAAAACATTTTATGATATTAATAGAAATGGTATTATTTCTATTCATAATATATATATAGGAATAGGCATTAATTAATCTGATTAATTAACTGTTAATTTACCATTAATTAACTAAAGAATAATTAACCAAACCAAAAGATATTTTTAGTTGACCAATCAAATCAAAAGAAAACTTTTTAAAATTTTTTATAAAATTATATTTAGAATTGTATAGTGATACAAAAATATATATAATATTAATTAACGGTTAATTAACTAAATCTTAATTAACTGTTAATTTCCCATCCCTATATATATAGTCGATTTATATCTGAAAAGTTTATAGTAGATATATGAAAACTAAAGGAATACATAGTAATAATACTTATTAATAGGCAATTTTATTTGTAATTAATATTTCTTTAATCTGATATTTGATTGTATATATTCATCTCAATCAAGTAATATCAGATTTAGATAGTTATAAATCAAAAATATTTGATTTATATCTGATTAAATTATGTATTAATTTTCCAATTATGTAAAAAATAATTAAGTCTTAATTTTACTTATGTATAAAATCTTATTATATTTTATTATATGAAATATCAATTTTAAAATAATAAATTAATTGTTAAAATTGCATGTAAAATATTATTTCTTAAAAGATAATCTATTGTTATTTATAACTTTTTTTTTGAAAAACAATTTATTAATAATTTATCAGCCTTATTTATCATTAATATATTATCATTATCTCTATTTTCTGTTTTTTTTTCTTCTTTTATATAAATCTAATATTAACAAAAGTATTTCTTTAATATTTTCAGAAGCTAATTAGAATTTAGCTTGTTTTGTTTTATTTTTCAAATTTAAATCATATTTGTTAAATAATTTAAATTAAGTATCCATAAGAATGGAAATCTGATTAAATTGAAATTTCTCAATGAATTAAATAATGATACATCATCAAAATTCGATCATCATATTGATCAGATCACAACCCCATATCAATTAAGTTCAACAGATCCTTTGTGATTAGATCTTCACAATGATAATGACCATTAAGATAGATCCCTGAATATTTCAGCTAAAATCAATGAAAAATGATCTTCTATCGGGGTCTTTGAGCTGAAAGGCAAGATAAATTAGCAAATTATCATTTCCAATTATTGAGACACGCGACAAATCATAATTGATACATTCAAAGATTGACCTTATTGGTCTACTTTATTATTATGTAAAAAATCAAAATGGGACCTTTGCAGGAAACTCCCGGAAAAAATCAAATTTAATTTATATGCCAAATATGATTTTTTGGCATAAATACGTTCAAGGATTTCCATTTATTCATTTTTTGTTTTTCCCAGCAGTTTCCCACTTTTCTATTGCAAAAAGTTCCCAAATATGCTATGTTTACAATAAAATCACTAATAACATCATAATCTATTAGAAGAGAAATCCTCCTGATTTCGATGGCAAATCTTTTAATACCAAGAAACTTCATTGGTGTGTGCTCAGTTTGCATATATGTGTCCATAACTCTTGAAATTGTTTTTTAGAAACTAATGCGCTATTTTGTTGTATTCAGGTTGTCTTTCGTATCTGCATTAGTTAGGGGTATTTTTCGCCGGAACATGCTCCTTAGCTGTGCTTGGTTAAAGAACCACGTATTTTCTTCATTATTAGATTTAATAGCATATTGTATAAGCATTTTTTTCGGTTTCGTCTCTTCCCAGTTCCAGGTCCACCAGCCAAGACAGAATTGGGTATCACTTTATCACGCTTGTTAAATCGACTTTCAATCCCATTAAGTTTCTTTGTTTGTTATAAAGGTAGGTACATAGTAAAGATAGCCATTCCAGAGAGTATTCATAGCATCGTTTCACTCATAGAACTTATAAGTTTTAACGATTTTGTGAACGACATACTCGGTTTCTCAATGTGAGTTGTTGTATCCACTTGTAGATTCCTAAAGCCGATAAATAAGCGAGATTGGTTAGAGATTTTTTCCGACATCTTTACAAACCAATAGATACTCAAGTTATTTAGTACCTTGTGTAACGTCTCGCGAAGGACGCGAAAAAAAAAATGACAAATTTCTTGTTCTAGAGGTAAATCTTTGACCAGTGTCTCACGATGATATGGATATGTGGTATTGATAATTTTGAGTCATGTCACGATACGTCATATTGTAATGTAATAATATTAATTTAAATAAAAGTATTCGACAGTGAATCAATTATCCGAATCAACTATTTATCAAGATGAACTGTAACTGATCAATAAACAAATAGAGAATACATATTTCAAATTCCGACCCAGTTTTTTGGTTCATAGAATAAAAAAATATATACAGGTATACAAATACAATATATAAAAAGCAAACATAAAGAAAGTACACCAAAATAGTCTCGAAAAATTTTTCATCAGTACAAAATCTGGGTATTTATATAATTACGAAATTTTCGGTCGTACGGCTGATCTGCTTTGTTACACATTAGAATATTGTAATTTTCGATTTGAAGAAATTATCTGAAGATTCCGCACAACATATACCTAGCACAACAAATACAGGATCATAAGAACACTTTAGAAAAAAATTATTATAAAGATGCATTGAGGAGATATTGCGGAAATTGCCTTTCTCGATTATGCTATGTATAAAATATATAATTTTAATTTTAAAATGTAAAAATTTATGCGTACATTCTGGTCATTTGAAGTTATGGATCATTTTGAGGTTATATCCCTTAACTTTTATAAATTGAAAAATGATTGTAACGAACTTAATAGTAATGCAGATAAAATGCTAAATCTTTGAAAATGTCAACATGAAAATTTAATATTTTTTGTATTCAATAATAAATACCTTTTTTCGATTCTACAAAATATATATGTAATAGGTCGTATAAATAAAATTTTCTTAATAACCTTTTTTTGTAATAATTAACTTTTGTATAATGATAAATTATATCTTTATAAGAACATTTTTTTATATAAATATATAATTCTAAAATTTGCAAATAAAATTTAAAAATAAACCTTTTTATTTAATATTTATTAATATGTTTAATAAATTCAAATTTATAGAAATTGGATAACTATTTATGATCAGATCAGGGAATTAGATTTCAATTCATAAGTATGATAAATTATTATTTATACAATTTAAAGTATTTTTTCAGAAAATAGAGTTACATTTAATAAAATTTTTTTGCTAAATAATCCTAATTTTAAAGAGTTTAGCAATAAATTTTATATTTAGTATTTTGTGTAAAATATTTTTATATATTAATATATGTCTTTAGTTATAATTAAACATAAAATTTTTGGATAATAATTTATTTTGATTTATTAATTATATTTATTTTCATACTAATAAATATATATCTTCAAAATTTCAGATTAATTACTTTTATACTTATAGAAATTTGAATTGATAAAGTGATAATTACTAATCATATATTATATAAATCATTTTAAGATAATTTTACAAGTATTAACAATTAAATTATAAAATGTATTATTTATATGATTAAAATAAAATTTATAAAAATTTAAGTAATATTTATGAGTTATTATAATTTTAAAATTTTAGTAACATTTAAAATAAGATCAATATTTCACGTGATTTATAATTAACTTTTACTATATCAATTTATCAATTTAATCATAAGTATAAATGTAATTAATCTAAAATTTTTTTTAAAAAAAAATATTTTTTAATATGATTAATGAGTTTAATTAATAAAACTAAATATATTACAGCTAAAAATTTTAAAATTTATTATATTTAAAATCTTGTATTAATATATAAAATGTTACATTAAATATATAATATAAATTTTACTACTAATTAGATATCTATAAAAATTTAATATTACATAATATAATTAATATTTCATTATAGTATTATAAGTTTAATTAGAACTTAATAAGGTTGCTATACAAACTTAAAATTTACAAATCATTTAAATGGTAAAAGGTAAAATTTAGCAAAATTATATTATCTTATTAAAACTCAAGAAAAAAAAGCAAAATTTATAAAAATAGTAAAACTATATCTTATTTAATTATTGATTATTAGAAAGATAATAATAAAGATAATAGAAATTTTATTTATTTGTTAAGAAATGAATAAAATAAAAGATTATAGAATTAATTAATTAGAGTAGTAATTAAAGAAGCAATTATGATTGCATAATAAATCAGAACTAAATTAAATTTAGGAATAATTCGTTTCTGATTATTGTCACACAAATTTATTTGAGGCGTCATTTTATTGCATATCCCTCTGAATCGTTTAAAAAGATAAAGCCTATTTTTAAAACTAGCTTCATTTTTTTTTCACACAAATTACAAATACCTCTGGGAGGAATTTTGTTTTAACCATGAAGTTTGACCAATCTATCAAGAAATTGGTATTTATTATAAGTTGAATTCTTTACCTTTTAAGTTTAAACGTATTCAGTTATTCAAGGTTCGTTTTGATTTGTAGTGGGCCCGAATAACCGAATCACGATGGACCATTGCATATATAAGTTTTGCAGTATTACAAATGGTAATAGCCGTTTCATTAGAAGCTATAATATTACAAAGAAATGAAGTAAGCCATTCAACATTAGAAGCATATAAAATTTATGACGGAGTTGAAACCCCAAAGATAGCATATAAAAATTATACATATGCTAAGTATACAATGCAATTTCAATCGATTAAACATGGAAACATATGGTTTATGGTGTTTCAAGCTTTTCTAGTGACATTATGTATTTCTGCGGTATGTATCTTAACGTATCTTAGAATTAGTAATAACATAACTTTTAAATCGATCTAACTTTCTATCGACGATTTTTATTTTATTTATCAAGTTATTCTTTCAAGTAAGTGTTTTTTTTTTTTTTTGATACCTCGTTAAGTTATTTTCACATATTTATTAGCATTCATTCTTAGAATACCATAGATATAATTTCAATAGCAATTATAAATATATGTTTAATATGCGCTGCGGGTGTACAAATTTATCAAAGTAATAAATGGATTACTCGAGTTAATATGCAAATTGATTCTGATAAAGCGCATGAGATCCAAGGTCTAGATTATTATTTAAGTAATAATGTGGTTATATGGGAAATTATTCTACTATTAGCCTTGATAGTGTTTGATGCTGCTTCAATATTCTTTGGATACAAGTTATATAAACAATTTGGCTGGAATATCTACAAGAAAATAGGCGCCAATATACAGATGCAAAGTAGGCAATTTATTTATTTAAGTGAACTTGTCTTCAAGAAAATGATATTAATATGTTTTATTATTATTAAACAGGAATGTATCGAACATATCTTAGTAAGTTAACAACTAAAATGATTTATAATTTGATGCTTTACACTTATGCTATGCTTTTTTTTTTCTTATAGTATTCGTTTTGCTACTAAAATTGGATTTCTTTCTCTTGATTTGTTTCCAAATTCTTAACTTGGTTTTCTTGTTTAATGATCCTGAGGAGCAGACACGTAACATTATTTTCCAAAGTATCATGGTTGCAAGTGTTATCCCAATGGTTGGTTTAGCATTATGGGGGGTATGTAATAATAATCAAGTAATCATATAAATATAGAAATATAGAAATATAGAAAGCATTGATTTATTTATTTTTTTGATCAGGTCCGACGAGAAAATATAGTAGCGATGTTCCTTTTTACAGTGACTTCTGTTATTACAATAGCAAATTTTCTTTATATTTTAGCTGAGTTTATCATAAAAAGGGATGAGTTCCTGTTAACATTTTTGGTAATTATTATATATGTAACCAATTATCGTATTTTTTATTATGTACATTTTTTAAAAGTTTTACGATTTTACTTTAGGATGTTCTTGGTATCTTATTGTCCATAATGTCAATGGTGGTTGCATATTTGGCAGTACTAAATTTTGGTATGAATTGTGAATTTACAATACTTTATAAATATTTTCTAAGTCATTATATTAATTTTATAATTATATATATATTTTTAGACGGTGGCTTGAAAGAACATTGTACGTTTTCATGATTTCTGATAGTAAAGTAACGTATTTTTATTACTAATGAGTCCAAACTTATCTATCTTTTAATATATTTAGTTCAAAGAAGAAATCATGAAGGTGCTATCAATTTGGAAACCGGTGGTCAAGGACAACGAAAACGGTTTTCAATTGATGATTAATTGTATAAAATATCAATTTTGATTATCATGAAAGGTAATTGTTTTAAACATTCCATTTGAATATTTTTCAAACGTATTTTGAACACATTTATTTTGCATTTATTTGTAGAAATTTCCTTTTAGAGAATTTATTATTCCTTGAATGCTATAGGAAAAAATGTTAATTAAAAATGTGGTTCTTTTTTATTTCTTGATATATATTATTACACACTTTTAATCGATTTTTCATAATGCATCCTTGTACTATCAGATCAGAAGTTTTTATACATTTAATTTTTTGGTTAAATACTTTCCTTCATATTTTAATCTCAACCAAAATTCCATCATATCCGTTATTTAAAGAATAAATTCAAATTAGATTTTTATTCTTTTATTTGTAATGGTAAAAAGGGTTATAAACCCTTACAATAGAAAGAGTTATATCTTTATATCGGTTCTTTTATATATTTTTGGGTAAAAATTCAGGTTTTTTATTATTATATTCCTAAAAAGAAAAAAATTAGTTATAACATTTATATTCTTTGTATAAATAAAATAACAATTTTTGTAATATTTAAAAATTTTAAAATTTTTATTTATTTAAAAAAAAATAATTAAATAGCAACCAATTTTTTTTTTAATTTTTTGTTTTTTTTTTAGTTATAAACCGTTAAGTTTTGATAGTAAGATCAATATCGTTATAATCTTTTATTCAGAAACAACATATCCTTTACCTACATAATACATTTTTTTTTTTCATCAAAAATAAAAAATTAATATATATATATAATATGATATGATATATAGACAAAAAAAAATTACCTTTGTATCCTTCAGAAGAGATACCAGATATAGGATCTGATCTTTGTTTAATCATACGTTCATTAGTGGCTTCTTCCCATTCTTTGTTAAGAGTTCTTGGTTTGTCGGTTACTTTTAATTTCAAGAATAAGCACATTCATAGAAAAAATTTTTCTTAAAAAGGTAATTTTTAAATCATACTGTTAAAAAGGATGATAATACTTTACCAGCTACTTTAGTCAAATAAAAAAGTCCTGAACTAACAAGCATCACTACGCTAATTCCTGCAATTATTTTACTAGTTGTCCCAGTCCGACCAAATTCTTCTCTTGGTCCATGATTCCCAAAAGCAAGATAATAAGCTTTAAAAAAATAATTATTATTATTCATTATCTAATATCTTAATATCAAATATTATAAGGTATGTTGTAGTTCTTTCTCTTTTAGAAATAAATAAATAAATAACTTTATAAATATAACAATACCAGCTTTCTTTTCTTCAAGAGAAAGTTTTTGCCAATCTTGTTTTTGTAAATCTTCAATTTTCTTTGTAATATTAGTTTGCTCTTCAACTGATAATGTATTCCATTTATTGACAACTTCAGAAATTGCTGGTGTAGCTGTAGAAGCACTCCTTTTAAAATTAACAACTTTTTTATTAAGTTGTTGTTGATTAATGCGTACTAAAGAACGAAACATTTTAATGAAACTATTTGATATAAAAAAAAAATGTAAAGTTCTTGGATTATCCTCAAATTTTTACTTTGTATATTTTATTGGATGATATTAATCGCATGTTAATATTAAAAAAATTTTTTTTTTGTTGAACCCAAAGTGCTGATACATGATAGCCCCATCTATAAACTACCTTTGTTTCACATTCAACTTTCATGTTTTGTCACAGCAAACACGAAAGTAAAAAGGTATAAGAAAGTAAAGGACATATCTAATTTACACCTTGCTTAACAAACAAACTTACAATACATCAAGGTTTCGAACTTTTTTTGAATTAAATTCAGTTCCTAATTCACCTTTTTAGAATCTAAAAAAAAAACCCCCAG